CAGTTCCCAGGCCCCCACAGCTGCGCTACCAGCTCCCAAGGGCGGCTCCCAAGTCAGCACTCCGCCACTGGCTTGTAAGGCCAGTGCTCTGCAGGCCAGCGCTTCACTGATGGCTTCTAAGGCCAGCACTTCACCAGCGGCTTCCAAGATCAGCTCACTGGCCAGCACTCTGCTGGCAGCTTCCAAAAGTGGCTCCCAGGCCAGCACTCCACCGGTGGCTTCCAAAAGCAGCTCACAGGCTAGTGGAAGTCCTGCTAAAGTATCATGGAAGCCATTAACAAATGAAGATGCAAAAGAAAGACAGCCTTTTTTCAATAGACTGTACAAATCTGTGGCCTGGAAGCTGGTTGCTGTTGGTGGTTTCAGTCCCAATGTGAATCACGCAGAACTTTTAAACTCATCCATTCAGTCTGTGAAAGCCAGTTTAGATGTAACTTTTGTTCCTCTGAAGGAACTTGCAGACTTACCTCAAAATAAAAGCTCTCATGAAAATATAGTTTGTGAACTGAGGTGCAAATCTGTTTATTTGGGTACTGGCTGTGGAAAAAGTAAGGAAAATGCCAAAGCTATAGCTTCAAGGGAAGCTTTGAAATTATTTCTCAAGAAGAAAGTTATTGTAAAGATATGTAAAAGAAAGTACAAAGGACGTGAAATTGAAGATCTGGTACTTCTCGATGAAGAATCAAAACCCTCAAACTTACCTCCAGCTTTAAAAAATCCTCAAGAGATCCTGTAAGACACACAAGAACTGAGGGTTACTTTTGTACTCTGAAAATGTAGGCTTCCAGATATTTTGTATTTCTCAGTTTTGCAGAACAGTTACATTCTTGTTCCTTTCACACGGTAGCAATTGTAAATAACTTCTTCTAGATCACAAGAAGTGTGCATTTAAAGGTATGCCTTAATATAGAGCACACTAGCGTGCTGTTTTATTTGCTATATAGTCTACCTAAGTCTTCTATTTTTAATTAAAAGATTAAGGTACAGTTTGATTCAAGTCTAATAATTTTGTAATTCTTACGATTTGGTGGCAGTGTGCTCAGTTGTCTACCATGTCTTTTTAGCTGCATAGAAATGTATATAGGGACCATAGTACTTGAATGGTTGAAAGTCGTTAAATTTCAATCAAAAGGTTGTCTGTTTGAAATTTGTTTCCCATAATGTTCACTATTACTGTTGAAATGAGAGAAAATAGTTGGCTGACTATTTTTATGAAGAGTTGTAACATTTTAAAGTTAATCCTAAAATATGTGATCCTGTTTAACATTACAATAGCAAAATTGTCAATAAACAATCACCAGGGAGAGATTTCAACCACCAAAAACTCTTTAAGAAAATTAAACTTACATTTTGTGAAATACCATTTACACTTTGTTTTTCAGATAAACATGGATTTCTATATAAGCATATTTTATGACTGCTACTATTAAAAGCTATAAACTTCTGGGATGTCCTCACTTTTAATATTTTGTTTTAGCTATTAAATGCTTTATAAAATGATCATTTTGATAAATGTTAGTGACATCTTTTTTGAAAAAAATCTTAAACATTAAAGTGGGTCAGACGCATGTGTGAAAATGATCAACAGAGCCGTACTCCTTTCTTTTGCTATGAAAATATACACTGACTTCAGGGTGGATGGGTTTCATTGTGTAGTTACTAGTGGTTCTTGTTAAGATGCACAAGAGATACTAATGTAAACCTAGAATGACAACATTTTTTTCAATAAATAATGGAATGTATACGATTTCCACTCTATCATAAATGTGAGGGCACAGGGAAATGCAGGTGCTTCTGTGTGTTGTCTTCTGAAACTCTGGAGTGAGTACACATTTTACGCTTTATACACTCAGTACTCTCACTGATATCAGGATGTTTCATACAAAGATCAAAGGAAACAATGTCCCTTTAGGTGCAGCAGTCTTGAAAGAATTATACAAATTGGTTATATGAAACACTGGAGAGTAAAAGTAATGGTTGAGAGCATATTGTTCATAGGGTTTTTTTTAATACTGCAAAGGGAATTTAAAATGGGCATTTCTATGTAAAAATGATGCTATTTTATTCAATGGATCGGCTCTGTACTGTCACTATCAAATGCTGCATATGTTAGCAGTGTAGAATAATAAAGTTGAGGAATAGTCTGCATGCTATGCTTCAGTTCTCTGAATTGACAAAACTGAACTATTTTCTGATTCTTGAATCTGTTGGTATTACAGAGGGCAGAATACAGCTTAATGGTGCGGTTGCTACACCAACACCTGAAAAAGTTGTTATAGTAGGGATGTAAACCTGCATTTAAGTAATTGTGTAACTGCTGAAATTTTCAGTTAAATGTAGAGAGGCAGTTGTTCCCAGGAGTTCCCGTTCTCTCCCCCTCCCCCAACCCGCATGCTGTTGCCTGTGATAAAGGCAGTGTGGAGCCCTGGGTGGGAAGAGGCTTCCCGCTGCCTCTTATCTGCATGTAACTATGAAGGTTTAACTGATTAGCTCTGGCTCATCAGTTAACTGTGTACACGGTTATACTTTCACATTTCTAGTCATTAGACCACATTTGGTAGAGTGAGAAAATATATGGGAAGGATGGTGTAGCACAGTTTCTCAACCTTTTTTTTTTTTTATAAAGTACCCCTTTAAAAAAAAAAAAAAAGTACCCCCAGTGCCTACAGTTTTCAGACACATTTTTTTTCTACCATTGGAACATATTTGTTTAAACAACTTGATCTTAGCTAGGCGAGCGATGAATTTTTTTGGTGTAAAAAGTACCAAAACAATAAAGCACTGTAAAAAAAAAATTCAGTTCTCCCAATTTCAGTTGTTGATGTACGTACCCCCCAGACTTCTCTTGAGTACCCCTAAGGGTACTCTTATCACTGGTTGAGAAACACTGGTGTAGCAAATAGAGTACTAGCTTAGGCAACTGGGCCAGATCTACACTAGACCCAGCAGGTTGGCTTAAGGTACACAAAAGACTATACCCCCATCTAATATCAAGTATGAGACTCCAAAATCTAGATGGAATCATTGGTTACATTTCAGGATTGTTGGAATCTAGAATGTCTGAAACAGGGATAATATGGAAAAAAAATTAAAAACAGTTATTTTGAGCATTAGGCAGCAGAAACCATCCCTAAACCCACAATTCGTGGCAAGGTCTAATTACTAAAGAAATCTAAATGGTGTATAATATGCATAATGTTGCTAAGATGTTTAATAAAACACAAGTAAAATCTAATAAATTAATCACAACAAATAATAAGATAAAGGAAAACCAGAAAGGTAAAGAAATTATTTGTACATGTTACATGTTGACTACCACAACCAGTTCATTAGAGAACGTTTTAAAAGGAAAACCATCTGCCCTTATTGGCAATAAACAGCAACATTGAATTGTCCTCCATGGAGCTAACAGTAAAAGTGGCGAATTGATAATATATTAAAATGTGAACAGCTTGTAATTTGTGGTCAGTGACTCTGAAGCCTACTCAAGGCACATATTCAAATCAGTTTTACTGAGTGTCATAAATACCAATATTGGATTATAACACAGCAATATTTAACAAATAAGCTATTCTCTGTTCAGTAAGTAATCTGGAAGAAAGCATCTAGAACAGTGTTTCTCAAACTGTGCTCCGTGGAGCCCCAGGGCTCCACAAGACATCTCCAGGGGCTCCGTGAGGTTGACAAACTGGAAACATCAATAGGTACAACACATACAATGAGTGGACTGCTGGGGCTCTGCATAAATGTTTATGGATGTGTAAAGGGCTCTAGAGCCCAAAAAGTTTGAGAACCTCTGATCTAGAATACTGGTCACCAACCAGTAGATCGGGATCTAGCGGTAGATCTTGGAACCTCGGACAGGTACTCCTGATGGGTTTGGCCAGGAAGCTATCAAGCGCTGGCACTTCAACTGCCCATCCACCCACTGTCATGCTGCTCCTGTCCTCTGCCTTGGAGCTGCCCCCCTGGGAGTCTCAGCCTTGCTGTGCAGGATGTGGGAAGGAGAAGGGGGCACTGATGTCAGGGTGTCCCTTCTCCCCCATTTCTGTACCCTATCTCTGCACAAAGAAAAGGGGATGGAGGAGAGCCTGGCAATGCAAATCTCTTTCTCTCTCTGTCATTGTCACAAACATCCACTCCTTCACATACGTGGGGGTGTTACTTTTACTGCTTGCGAAATGTGTTGTTTTTGGTTTTTGACTGGTCTGTGCAGTTCATAATTTTCATTTCATGCATACATTTAATTATTTGAGTAGTGATTTCTAAAATGTCTAACCTGACATGGCTGGAGTAATTATCCTATGGTAATTGCTGCTCCTGGAAGCAGCTGACACGTTCCTGCAACCCCTGAGAAAGGCAGAGCAAGGGGTCTCCACATGCTGTTCTTGCCTGTAGACACCGCTCCTGCAGCTCCTGTTGATCAATAACGGGGAACCGTGGCCAGTACAGTAGAAGTTGTGGGCTCAGTGCCTGCAGATGAGGGGTAGCACATGGTGCCATAGAGCCATTGCTGTACATGTCAGCTGCTTTCAGGAGTGGTGCAGGGCCTGGGCAGGAGTAAACCTGCCTTAACTCCACTGCTTCACCACCCGGAAGCCATCTCAGTTAAATGGTGCCCAACCAGAGCCTGCTTCCTGAACCCCTGTTCCAGCCCTCCTACACCCAATCTCCTGCCACAGACATGAGTCCCCCTGCACCCAAATTCCATCCCAGAGCTTGTACCCTGAAATCCTTCCTGGACCCCAGTCGTCTACCTTGTGTTAAGCCTGGAGCCCCTCCAACACTCCAAACTCCTTGGCCCAAGACCAGAGCCTGCACCCCAACCCTTTACCCCAGCCTGGTGAAAGTGAGTGAGGATGGGAGAGGAAGGAGGATGGAGTGAGCAGGCTGAGGCCTTGGAGAGGGGGCAAGAAGGAAGTGGGGCAAGTGTATTTGGCTTTGAAGCAAATCTTACATTGCACTTCAATTAAAAAAGTGTTCTTGTGGTTAAAAAAGTTGGAGACCACTGATCTAGAAAGTACGACTGGCTCTATACACCTCAACTAGTGGTGTAACATGCAACAATGTAAACTTGAAGGGCATTGCATACAAGTTATTGTGCTAGGAATGTTTTTAACATTGCAACTTCCGTGTGTGGCCATGATGTCTTGAATTATGAGTTAGCTGCTCTTGTCTCCTGTCCAGTGAAATTTAGTAAGGGTAATCTATAATATGGATGAATAGGACTGTGAAGTAGGAATGTTAAAATGCATTTATTCAGGTAAACGTAAAAATTGACAATTTCAAAGTTTACACTTAAAAGCCAGTTCCCCGCCCATACCTGCTCTCACCTGCCCCCTCCCCTGCACTGCTGCCTGTTATACAGAGGCAGCAGCATGGGTGTGTATGTGTGTCTGCATGTAACTGAAAACCATGACAGTTAACTGATGAACCCAGGCTCATTAGTTAACCAATTACACGTTCACATATCTACTGTGAAGTAACTAAAAGGAATTAATATATGGAGGCCTCTATTGTAATGTCACTATTCCAAATTTTTTATTTACTTCTCGTGTTCGGAGCATTTTGGGGCACGCTGTAATAATACCTATTTCAATTTTCAAATGAATCTATGATATGAAGAGAGCCCCAATACCAGGATGAAGTTGAACCTTACCTATTAGTTTTTGATAGACATACTGATCCATTCACTATATATTTAAAATTACTAGACAGAAGACACACATCACTCAGATTAGCAATGATATGTACAAGGCAGAACAAGCTTTGAATTACTTTATCCATGATGGGAAATCTTGAGATACTGATTTTTCACTCTGCTTTTGTTATATGGCATATTGATTTAAACTGTATTCATTAATGTATTGCCACTTACACAGTTTGGTAAAACAAGTTACATATAAAGGTGTCATTTTAACTATAACAGTGATCAAGGTAACAAATGGGGATACATTGACCAATATATGCTGGCTAACCTGCATTTAACTATCATATTCATATATATGGCCATATCTTATATATCTATTAGTGTGCAGTAAGTACAAACAGCATTAAACAAAAATATTACAGCAATTATATAGGCTAAATTGGCCTATAACTTCCAGTTCATTTATGCTGAGTATCCCATAACACTTTCCTTTTAAAATGGCTTTAGTTGAAGTAAACTTTGTCTTAAGTATTAGAGGGGTAGATGAGTTATTCTGTAACTGGAAAAACTTAAAAAACAACAAATGGTCTAGCAGTTTCATCTGAAGAAGTGGGTTGTACCCATGAAAGCTCATGATACCATCTATGGCTACGTCTACACTACCAGTTTTCCGGCAAAAAATATGCTAATGAGGGACTCATTTGCATGAGATGCAATCTCTGCATATGTTCTGCCAATCTGTTTTTGCGCAGAGGTTTTTGCGCAAAAACAACCAGTGCGGACGTTTTCTTTTTGCGCAAAAAAACCTTTTTCCGCACGATCCTTATGCCCCAAAACAGGAGGTTTACCGATCTTGAGGAAAAAGAGTTTTTTGCGCAAAAAGAAAACTTCCACAGTGCTTGTTTTTGTGCAAAAATGGATCGACAGAAAATATGCAAATGAGATTGCGACTCATGGAAATGAGTCCCTCATTTGCATATTTTTTCCCAAGAAAACTCATAGTATAGATGTAGCCTACATGTTTTGTTAGTCTTTAAGGTGCTGCTAGATCATTTGTTGTTTTTTAAGTTTTGTCTTAAGTAGATAGGAAAA